AAAGATTCGTTGGTGGCGTCCTGGTTAGACTTAGGCTTACTAGAGGGATTTTATATATGGTGAATCGTATTACAATGATGCATCATTGCATTCAAATAGTATGATGAGTCGATACAAAGGTATTAAAAGAAATGGGTCGCTCATAAACGCGGCTCAGCTTGGCTCGTTTCTTTAAGGCTCAAGTTCGTTTTCAAATCGTTCGATAAACGAACCGAGCTCAATTAACTCATTTATTAACGAGTTGGCCTCAACTCAGCTCGATAAAGCTCGTTAAGGCTTGAAAAGATAATTTTTATATAATTTTCTGTAGTTCGACTCGTTATAGCTCGAGATCGGCTAATTAATATTGATAAACGAGCCAAGCTCAGGCTCAATTTCTAGCTCGAGCTCGAGCACCCTGAGTTAGAGCTCGGCTCGGTTACAACCCTAGACTAGTTAGGTTTGTCCTACACCATAAATTGTGTTAACAATACCGTCATAAGCTCACCAATTCCTAAAATTTGTTTGTCCATCTAAAGGTCCCCCACATATGTTATCTCTTATGTGCTAAAGGCTCCAAAAAGGGTAAATTGCACCAAACCCCCCTGTATTATACGAAATCTGCGCGTTATCCCCTTGTATTTTAAAAATTGCGTCATACCCCCTTGTATTATACTTTTGATTGCGCGTTATCCCCTAAACCGTCTAACTTGACGGATGTGCATTTCACGCGCGTGTGGAGCGACTTTTTCTCCATTTTTTCGCCATAAACGTAGGGAAATGACTATTTTGCCCTTAATACCTGAATTAAATTGAATTCCTCTTTTCTGGGCTGAAGGTTCGAAGATCTCCAAGTTCATCCAATTGAAAAATCCTTATTAAAAAAAAAAAAGAAAAGAAAAGCATAGATAAAATCAAATCTCAGCAGATATGCAAAATTTATGCATATGGGCTATGAAATTTATTTATTGTCGAGGACATCACCGTGATTACTAATGAGTGGCGGCAGTCGGCAAGGAAATGAGAGCGACCCGGCGACTGAAGAATGCAACTTTCTGTTGTGACGACTGTTTGTTCAGATTTGGCAACGTCTTAGATCTGTGGTGGAGGCGGCCACTCGGTCAAGGGTTTGCGAAGGATCTGGACAACCGGCGCCTTAGAGACAACATACGGCTGATGACCTAGATTTTTTTATGAAAAAATAAAAAAAAAAATCGGAGGAAGACGAAGATAATGAGGACAATTGCTATGGACTACTTCGGGGAGAAAAGCGACGGCGCCACAGTGGCGATGGAGGTGGACAATGCCACTCCGTCAAGGGTTTGCGAACAGACAGTCGTCACAATTACACCACCGTGATTTTGATTTTTTTTATTGTTCAGATCCCTTGAATTTGGGGATGAAATTTTATTCCTTTGAATTTTATTTTTGATTTTTGATTTTTCAGATCCCAGATCCATTTTCTGTATTGTTTTGTTTTTTATTTTGATTTTGATTTATTTATTTTTTATTTTTTATTATTTGAGATTGGATATTTTATATTTTTGTTTTTAGACTGACTATAATTGTTTGTTTCTGAGGGCATAACGGGAACTTAAGCAAAAAATTAACGGGGTTAACACAAAAACGAGGCGAGGGGAGCGTGCGCAATCAAAAGTATAATACAAGGGGGTATGACGCAATTTTTAAAATACAAAGGGATAACGCGTAGATTTCGTATAATACAGGGGGGTTTGGTTCAATTTACCTGCTCCAAAAAAGGAAGCAAAAAACATGGCCTACATATCCAATGTCCAGCCTAAAAG